GTTTGCGCGAAGCTATTTGTAAAAGCAGTCAGGAATTATGAGTCGACAACTCCTGGTCTTTGCAACATGTTAATGCACCATCGTATACTGCATTTGTCAAAATTTCAACCAATATCGTGCCGCAACCACCTACTCTCCTSATTTATCTTCGTCTGAYTTCTGGTTATTCAGCAAACTCAAAGGACCGCTCCGTGAAAACCAGCTTGAGTCTATTGAAAACATTAAACGTGAATCACTGTGCTCATTGAAAGCTATTGACTTCAACAAGTGTTTCGAGTATTGGAAAAAACGTTGGCCAAGACGGATAACTTTGAGGTGGTWGACATTGTATTGAAGAACAAATTAGCATTTAGAAAATTGTATACAAAGTTTTACAATTTCTTGCTCATAATAGTAAATACATTATTCCTGCATTAAATCAAAGGTCATTTTAAGAATATACCGAATGTTCATACAACGCTCATTGAAACTTTCTTCGCTTTTAACTAAAAAACAGGAATAGTTCATTTTCACTAGCTTCTCTTCAGGCGAATTCATTTGCCATAGACAGGAAGAGGTAGKAATCACTTTATGTCAAGATCGAACTATAAGGCGGATGCATAAGAAACTCCCAACATTCTTCTTGGAGTTTCAGACGAGTTACTATCTGTGGGTGTTTCCTGGTGTTGTTATTATGAAAGTCTATTTCTTTTCTATTGGTCAAACGTGACTATTCCTGGATGGCTGGTGTCATCAGTCGGTCGTATTATTGACAATATAGGTTTGAATTATAATTTTGGTTGAAGGGAGTATATAATTTCCACCTAATACAGGRTTTTTCCRGAAAGCAATAAGACTGAGCCGATTKAAAAAAATTTATTGAACCAATCGTTACGATTCGTTAAAAACTTTCAAAATGCTCTTCTTCTGCGTTGATGCAGCGCTGCCAGCTCGATTTCCAAGCATTGAAGGCGTCACGGAAGACATTCTTTCAGATCCCCTCTGTCGTCAAAAAAGACAATGAGCATCGTAATCTCTCTTCCACTTTTAGATCATTTAAAATATATATTATATGTATGTATGTATGTATTTATGAAATACTCTAGTGGTAGTGATTACATTATGCTACTTAATTCACTCTTTAATTAAACATGAAATTTGCATTTCGACTCATTGATTAAAYTATAGTTTGTTTTGACACATTTGCATAACTTTTACGCAGCATTTGGTGTAATACATTTCATGAATTTGTCAACGCTGTAATGGATGTGTACTAGAGCGTCACACACACACAAACAAATCCGCAATATTTATATAACCGCATTAGTGTCAAACAACCGCCGCTAAAAGTGGCAGGCAAAGGTTATAAACAATCATTTGCATAATGCTCAAACCCAAGTGGTCGGGCCCCAGTTCAGTGGGGCCGTCGGACACGTGACACGCAGCCAAGCAAATGAAATTGCGCGGCCGCGTTCGCCGGACGCCGGACCTCATTAACCGCAAAACGACAAACAGTCGTTGTTTGCAATGCGCTGCGRTGTATTTATAAGCATACTCATAAGCGCACTCACACACTCATAAACACTTTCGTCTCTGTTGTTGTTCGCCTTCTTGTTGTTGCAACGGCTAGTTGCGCTGCCGCGGCAGGTGACCGCAAAAGGGCAGCGAATTGAATGCAGCAGTTGACGTAAATTAGTGTTTGTTTACTGGCAGGCATAATTTATACACACACACAGAGAGGCCAGTTTGTGCTTGTGTGAGTATGTGTGCGCGCGTGCATTTTCGTAATTTTATAGTTGCGCATGCAAATTAACGCAAGCGGGAAATTTCTTCGCATATTTATTAGATTGACTGCGTTGAGTTGGTCTGTGGCGCTGCAAAAGTGGTGGCATGCCAAATGGCTTAAAAGCTTGTACGGTGTTGCCAGCTTATTTGAAAATATAWATTTAAAAATTTAAGGTTTTAATCAGTTGAGAATTCTATTGGTTTACATTCCATTGGTTGATTAATATTTTTTTTGACTTGGATTTTTTTAAAAGTAACATGTAACAGCTTGTCGGAAGGTAGCTCTTTCTGTTCAGGGCYTGAGTGTATAAATAGTCTCTAAGAACTAAAATCAATTTATTAAAAACTGAGTCTTAGAAATAAAATGTTCACTCAAAGTGAGTGCTTAAAACTTTTAACTTGAAATAGGGTTGCCACCTGCTAAAAAAATAAAATATTGAAAAAGAATACAAAGACCGCAAAATAAGTAATTAAAACGTTAAATTGGAAAATAGGTTTTTCAAAAAAGAAAATATTAAAGCGCGTGTCTCAAACTAATTTTGGCCACRAAAGTTCACCAAAAAGAATGCCAGTGCAGTTAATATAAGGGCTTGAAAATTTTAAATTTTAAAACAGTGTTGCCACCCGTTAAAAACTATAATTTACTTTGTTAAAAAACTAAAATATTAAAAAATAATGCAAAAACCGCAAAATAACTGCTTAAAACTATATAATGGAAAATAGGGTTGCCACCTATTCAAAAAATAAAATATTAAAAGACGTGTCTAAAACAAATTGCGACCACGAGAGTTCATCAAAAGGTATACAAGGACTGTAATAGAGTTGCCATCCTACAAAATACTTAAATAATTACCAATATTTCCAAACCATGTGGTAACACAAGCGCCAAAATGACGAAAAATATTTTGTATACCATCTTATAGCTACAAAAAATTTTCCATGAAGCGTATAATAGCTTTGGCGCGACGTTGTTCTTGTTTTAACTCGCTTGCAGACTAAACAAGCTTGTATTAAAAATACTAGTGTTTTTGTGCATAAAAAAGTGTGGCAACACTGACGGCGAATATTACTGCAAAGTCCGCTATCCAAAGTACAGCGAATGCACAGCAAAACTGCAAATGAACATGCAAACGTGTGTATTATTGTTGATCGTATAGGTTATGGTAGTGGTAAATGCATCAAATATAATAGAAGCGTGACGGGGAAATGTGATGAATGACGCCCACTAGGATTACTATAGCCCTGCTGTTTCATATTTGCTGAGAATCTAGTGGTTCATGGCCTGGTGGCATGCACTCGCATTGGTGCCTCAATTACATTTTCACCGCTTTCGCTGGATTATTCACGTTTAATGGTTTCATTTGTGCATGTTTCAGGCGCCACTTTTCGTCACCAGCTGATTTGCCGCTCTTTGACCCAACGCTTCGTSTGCTTACTTATYGSCAGCAATCAACAGCGCTGCCAACAACAAAATTCTAACACTTTGTCAACGCTATCGTCGTCACTATCGCCATCGTCATCAACTGGCCGTTTGACTTGTGCGGCGGATTAATGGCCATTATAGTCRGTATGTAGCCAAGCAAATTTGTTGATTGCTCCGCCGCCGCCATGAAGCGTTGCAGTTGTTTTGCTATCCTATCAGTGTGTGTGTACTGTGTGCAAATGTGGGCTAGTGCCGTTATGGGCGTTGCTTGTCCGTGCAGTTTTTATTGCGCTGCGGTTGTTGTTGCATTCGCGTTTAGCGCGGTTTGTTCGCTAATTAATTTGTGATTTGTGGTTGCAGCTGAGAATTTTTGGATTTTTTATGTTGGGAAAATTAGAAATTACAGTGGTTTTAGCCGAGTAGGCACACTGAACTCGTTAATAGTTTTATTGTGGATGAGCTTCTTTTCGAATATATAGGAATTCTATGACAAAATATACCTTCATATTTGTGGTTTTTGCTTTAGAAAAAAAAATTTGTTTAAATTGTATTAGTTAACTTGGAAAGGTCTTTTGTGCAACTTCCTCACATTACTTATAATATTCATCCAATATGAGCTCAGACTATATCTTTCAAAGAAGCTATTACTACTGTAGGCAAATATGTGAATTCAATTCGACTTTGATCTCAAAATCTTTTTTTTTTTTGTTATTCCACACATATGACAATATTTTCTCTAGCGGAAGATGACTGCCTACAACCCTATAAAATCCAAATCTTACTGAAATTAAAGTTATTATTTTATCTTTTGTGATAATGGACTGTAAATAAATTCGATACAAGGATCTTTCCTACATTGTGTTTGGTAAGGAGGAGTTGTCGTCAATAATGGCAACKTGTAGGCTGTCTCTGGCTACGTCGCAGGAATGTCTTGCTGTTGTTGAGCTGTTTTGTTCACTTTCACTCTGCGTGGGTTCTTTTAGACAGAGTGCCTTGGAGTTCAATGAGTGAGCGATTCCCTTTTTGAAAACTGCTCTGATTTGTGCACTCGACTTGAGGTTCGGAATGCTTCCTTTTGAGGTAGCTTTCGTATTACTCCATTGTTTGTTTGCGACGCTTTATTGCTTATCAACTGGGGTGCCGGCTGCCTGATCTTTGGCAATCTTTACTAATAGAAAGACTGCCCTCTGGTACCAGTTCTTCCTCAATCGATTTTGGATATATTTGCGTTTCTTGCACTGGTTGTCTCCTTTAGCTACCAGCGCACTTTGATTGGTGCTCATGACAGCTTTGGAGATGGGGGCTTCCGCGTCTGATTTGGTAGTTTCTGCTGCTGTAACTACCAGTGAACTCTGACTGGTACATCTGGTAGTACTCTTAATTGTCTGCTGGSTGAAGGCGAGTAGATTACCCACATCGGATTCTGTTATTGGATTCCTATATGTCATAGCTATACCAGTAGCACAGCGGTTGCCGTCAACTTGGACGTTTTTGTTGTTGTTATTGTTGTACGTTGATTAATGTTCTGTTCGCACGAGTAGGCCGGTGACTCGTCCGTAGAGCCGGTACGCGTAAAGAAGGCATTGTAATACCTCCGACCTCGCCCGGACATCAGAGGGGCCCGTTCGTTACCACCCGCTGACCATTCAGCCATCAGCACGGGTGCTTCAACACCTTTGTTCAGGGTGGTGTTTTTACGGGTACATATTTCGGTTAGGAGTTGCAACCTATTAAAGCAAGACTCACTTGTAATAGAAAAGCTGTCCARGAGCTCCGAAACAAATACACTACCATCTTAAGTTAAAACAAGAAATTCTTTTAAGTGACTTATGGATCTTAAACAATTTATTATAGAAACAGTGTTGATTCAACACATATTCAAGAGACGGATAATTTACAATTATACTTATATTTATTRTTAGGAAAGTTTTTTCTTGATTTGCTGAATGATCAGCAGTCTGGATAAATTTTGGTAAGGTGTTTCGAAGAATAAAGTGAACAATGTGGCAACTAATACCAGAACAACCAAAACGCCGATGGATTCAGCAACCTGAAAATAGAGCTTACATATAATACAATCCAACACTATTCTAAAAAGATTRAACTCACCATTGATAAGAGATTGGCATAAATGTTCGATTGACTAAAGCCCGGCAGCGCGTATGTGATCAACGGGTTCAACAGAAACATTGCATAAACAACTCTATGGAATTTCTGAAACACTACTGTCTCGAATAAGCGAAAAAACCAACGCATGCACCCATGCGCRTTGGCTACAATCAAAATACTACATGTGAGTGCAAAAATAATGCGTTCCAATAATAAAATCGAAGTCGATATAAACGGCGAAAGTGTTTGAARGGGCGGCTTGAATACGCAGCCGAAGAATACTAGTGTTATCAAAAAACTAATAAACTGCTGTGTCTTCTTGCCCACAGTGAACGGCAAGTGCTTCTGCTTAACGAAGAACCAACCAGCGATGCCACCCGAAATATAAGCCAAAATGCGCGCCAACGGGTGTATGTAGATTTCCGTTAAAAAGACGAACGTTGACTCCAAAGAGCCATCAAAATTCAATTTGAAGCCATAAAAGTAGGTGTACACTACGCTTGCCACAGCGAGACCTGMTAAACATAATTTGGTGCGTTTTGGATCTCTGCAAGCGGTTGAAAAATTTATTTGCATGAATTATATATTTACAAACTAAATTACTTACTTGACATATAGGAAAAGCAACACAGTGGCCAATACCGCAAACTGCATATCACACGCCAATGACCATGTCCAGAGTCCACACATGTCATTGTGATCGTAGAAATTCTGTATGAAGAATACATTTCGCCACCAATATTTTTCGCAGTTCACGTTCATTTTGTGCTCGGTATGATACATTGATACTTCATCGATAAGCTGTGCGCCAAAATCTGCTATGCCGATAGTTAGAAAGTATAAGGGCGCCAATCTAGAAAAACAAAAATAAATATTATTTACGTTTATAGACCCTTAGGGGCTTGAGGAAGTAATCTTCTTGCAACCCCTGCAAGATATTTTATTTGGAGATTCTCGAAAAATAGGAGTTTGCAGTTTTTACATACAGGGTTTGTTCRTAAAGTCATAGGACTGAGTCGATTTAAAAACATTTATTGAATCAATCGTTAAAATGTTTTAAAAACCGGCATTCGTCGGAAGAGGTGCATGCTGCTTGCATCCCATCTGTCGTCTCAAAATGCTTTCCTTTCATTGGTTTTTTCTGGCAAGGAAACAAAAAAGTCCGAGGGGTCCACATCTGGACTGTAGGGCGGCTGTGAAAGCGTTGGGATGCTGGCCTTGTTTAGGTAACTGTTCACAAGAAAGGCGATGTAACCCGGGGCGTTGTCATGGTGCAACTTCCAATCGGCTGCGATATCTTGTTGGACCCGATTGACCCTTCGTTTGAGTCTCTTGAGGACTTGTACGTAAAATTTATCGTTGACGGTTTGTCTAGGAGGAGCAAATTCATGGTGGACGATGCCTTTGATGTCAAAAAAGGCAATGAGCATCGTTTTCACTTCATATTTGCTTATTCTGCCGGACTTCATCAGCGACCTCTTTCAGACCCTTCAAAAAGTCCTGGTGAGACCGAATCACAAAACTTCTTGCTAAAGAATATTTGTGTAAGCCAGATTTATAAATAGCAATTWAAGTCTCTGCAATTTTTCAGTAGAAAGTTGGCTAACCTTTTCTTCCTTAACGACCTTAGGCAGAGCAAATAGTTTGCGATAAATTAGTGCATTACACTTTGCCTTAGTCTTCTATTCACTGATTTGTCAAACTTGGACCATCGACAGTTTTCTCTTTCCCAAACTCAAAAACTGGCTGGTTTCGCTCAAACAAAGTGAAGATGGAAACAATATCGTWTATCAAAGTGCTTTGCACTATCGAGTATCGGGGTTAATGTTAGGTTAAGAAGAGTCGACCATAGCGAAAATCTCGCTTGGTCAGTCTCGGCTATGTCTAATGTTCTGCTAAGCATACGCGAGGTTTAGAAACGCAAGATGCCATCGAGATCCAACTCGCTCTCAGTCCAATGTGAGCGAAGCTTTGGTGCCCCTTCTGTCTGGCTCATCGGCTTTGCAGTTTCCAGGGATTCCACCATGACCTGGCACCCAAACGAGTCTGATGGTTAAGTAACTTGACAGTATTTATAGTTTGTTCCGACAATCATTGACTAACTTTGAGCGCACAGTTAGCGAGCTCGACGCTTCTATCGCCGCTCTACTGTATGAGTGAATGAAAACTTCGTACCAACACCTTAACAACCTAAATCTAAAATTGACTAAGAGCTCTTTACGAAAAACTCCCCCTCCTAGCCTTGACCCATTTGTGAAAAAACTCACTGCCACTTTTTTCCAGCAATTCCTTCCTCAGAGAAATAACCGCTACGAGTTGACTCTGCGACGAAGTGATCTAAGTTTTCAGGAATCTAGTTGAAGTAGAAGAGAATTTCGGTATGTCCTTGTTCCAACCCTTTCATTAGCTCTACCCAGGTCGAAAGACGTTTAGAATATACTCATTACTTCGTGATTCGATTCGTCGATCGATGAGTTACTGATTATTATCTTTTAGGAGTTTAATGGTTTAACATAAAGGATGAATATGTGTCCAAGTGAGATGAATTTCTTTCGATTTTTGATCAGTCCTACGACATAACCTAACCTGACCTATCTCAAAGATCCGTCTATTATCTCAAGTTATGTTTAATTTTTCATGACTTTCATCTTTGCCTSACTCCAATGTGTGCTTAGCCTTAGGATATTATTTCATGATTTATAACTTGAAAAATATTTGGAAAATAGTCTTACTTAATCAACTTGTGCTCTCTTTAAGGGCTAACAAACTCACCTCAGGCAGCGGTGAAATATATGCAGTCCTATGAATACTAAGTTTTGCTTCAARTTATTCTGTCGTATCACCTCCAACATTCTGACATTCCGAAAGTGATTATAAGACTGTAGGAATCCGCTRAGAAGAAATATATTTCGATATAAATATTTTGTAAATGGAAATTTTATACTCAAATGTCTCACCTGATTGTAAAAAATATATCTACAAATACATCAACATTTCCCACGTGCACTTGATAGTTAAAGAGCGTCAACTTATTTCTTGTGCCATTGAAGAGAAACATTAAGTAATGGTACACGGTGACGCTAACGGCGCTGTAAAATCGTATGCCATTGAGTGCAGCAAAAGTGTAATCCGCTTTAGATGGCTTAAAGATGTGCTGCCAATTGGCTTGGATGTCATAGCAGGCTATGAAGCTCGAGACACCAATTGATTGCTGTTGCTCCAACAGCAACTTTTCAATTGTAGTGTTGCTTTCAGCGGTGCTCTCGCTCAGACCCTGCGCTTCAACAGCAACTTTGGTGTTATTATTATCTTTTATGGCCGCTGTGCTCCGCGTCATGCCAGCGGCAATGGTCAAACCAATTGTTGTTGCAATAAAAAGACAACACAAATAAAATGAAGTTCTACGAAAAGTAGCCGCCGTCAGCTTCAGATCTTTTGCATAATCATATTGCAAGTTCATATCGTACAGCGCATTGCCGACAAAGAGATCGCTAGCCAAATAAGTTTCCATGAGGCTGCGAATTTCGTGCTCCGCACATGAGCTAGGCACACAAAGACCCACATGCACCCGTGTGGCAAATGCAATCACCACCGGATCCGCTTGCCAGCTGGAGTTGTGACGTAGGTAGATTATGCGAAACTCGACGGGGAAAGGCGCTACTGAGGTCAACAGCTCGGCTTTCATGTTATGTGGTAAATGGGATGASGTATGCGAAGCCAACGGCTTATCGACGGCGTCACAAACGTCTATATTGCCCAACCAATAATTATTGCCGAATGTGAAGCCCGGCTCGAGGCTCGCCGAGGCGTCGAACACTGTTTGGTTGGGAGATATTGTAATAAATTCATTTTTTTAAGGGATTTCTAGTTAGACTATTACCGAAACAAGTAGGACCACTACAGAAGTCTTTAAAAATGTTAAAAGAAAAGCAAYTTAAACACATTTACAACTCATAACGTCCGTAATTTATTTTTGCCTTCATGTTTGCTATTTTATCGTTTTACGATGGGTTTAAATCTTCCATGATTTTATTTTTTGTTTTTTTTAATTTTCTAGAAATATATTTCATATTTTCAAAATTTAACTACTAAAGAACATGTCTACAAGATAATTTTTCAACATTCAAATTATTTTCTTTGAACGGAACTTGCTGACGTAGACTGCGAAACACTTTAAGAGCAATTTTCTTGAAACGATACCCACGTATTTTCAGGCGTTAATTGGACCGATTTGCCTGATATTTTTACAGAGTCTACATTGTAGATTTTTTTTATATCGCGACCTATCCATATGCCCAGTACTATGCTTTTTTAATTTTTACAATTTTTAAAAACTCAGTGCAGTCAGAAAAAAGTTTACCGTAGAACCAGACTTCGGGCCAATATTGTAGTTTTATATATAGTATATGATAGTGGATGTGGTCACGCGTTGCTGTTTTATAAATTTAATGCTATTATTCATATAATAAACCATTCAATACAATGAAAATTTCATTTACGAATAAAGGCGGAAACGTTTCAGTCGGTATAGGGATCCAAGGAATTGTACTTGGGTTTAACTTTGGATATGTTTATACAAATAGATTTCATTGGAAAGGAAAAAATAATGAATTTAGCCAGTTTTCTCAATGTCTGGTTAACAGAATTTCTGTCCACTTAATAGAGTTGTCTGCTTAATAGAGCTCTCACTGTATTTTTTATTTATGAATGGTTTTTACTATCCTATCTTCTAAGTTTTTTCGAACTGGACACAGTATGCTAAACTTTACTAAAATCGGTTCAGTGGTTTGGGTGTCCATTGCGGCCAAACAATGTGATACGTAAATTTTATTTTTAAAGATATATATGTATGTTATTATTATTATTATTTTTTTTTTATTTTTTTTTTGTTTGAATAATAATATTAATTTGGACTTCACACACTCACTTTTCAGCGCCCAAGGCAACCTCTGTCTCACACCAACACGGAAGAGCTGCAAATGCTCGTTGCACTGCGTTCTACTTAAATAATCATTACTGATTGCTGATAAGCCATAAAGCGGCGATGTCCGTTGAACTGTCTCCTCTAACGCTTCCGGCTGCACGCCCGCGTCGCAAATTTCACTTGCAACTRTTAGCTTGATTAATGTGCATGCAATTATGAAATTTACTTGYATTGTAAACATTTTGACTAGTTTGACTAGAATTTTTCACTTATGTTAGTTTACGTTAAACGAGATATCTGGTAGGCGCCTGAGCCGCGCTTTGTGGTCTTTTGTTTCTTAGCGATGCCCGATGGAGCGCCGTTCCTTCACTAAATCATTACTTCATCGATTTGTCTTCATTTGAATTTTTTCATATTTTTTTAATAAAAGTCCAGAAAATATTTCTTAYATGCCACTTCACCTTCCTATTTTTTCACTTTGTGTATTTAACCCTTTATTCTAAATTAATAATCACTTTTCCGCTGGACACAACCAAGTAGCCGCGCAATCGCTTGCAAACAAAGCAGCGGCGCGTACACTTGCCGCACTTTTATTCTTTTTGTTTTATCAATCTCAACTGATCGCACTATAAAGTTGTCGCTAGTTGAACTTTAACTCACTTTCATTGAAATACTCGCACAAACTCACGAAGGCGGTCTGGTTACTTGGCTGTACTTAAGAGTTGTAAACAGRGTGTAGCATTTAAGCTTAGCTTGTATTCAAAGCTTGATATACTTAAGCGTTGTTGTTGTTTAATGTCTGTCTGCACTAAGAGYGTGCGTTAGAGCAACTTATGCGCTATTATTTCTAAATATACAGTGTTATCAAAAATGCTGYGTAACATACATACTATATGTTGTTGATTAAGTCAATGCTAGCAGTAGGGTAATCTGGCCTGTTTTTTGAAATTTTTTTCGTAGAATTTTTTATTCTACAATAGAACTTTTTTCACATATCATGAGGTATATAGTGGAACAAACAATTTTTTTTGGAATTTTTTTGATACCAAATATTTATCGGAGAAATGGCTAGGTGAATGAGAAGCGTTTTTTCACTAGCGGACACGATTTCTCATGTTTGGATATTCTTAAAAAATACGTAAATGGTTATCCTCCCTACTAGAATCATAAACAAATTTTGTAAATAAAGAAGTAATTAACGTTTTTTTTTTTTTTGGTAATTTTTCATCATGTTTTTTACAAAAATTTTGTCATAACATTGTCAATCCCTTATAAAAAAAGATAGGGACGATAGCCAGGCGTTTTGTGAAAATTAAAAAAAAAAAAAAAATTAAGCAAATCGGTTGAGCAGTTCGACCAGAATCATCTCCGCCAGTTAAAAAAAAGGGTGTTTTGAGAAAAACGCGTTTAAAGTTTGAGGTGTGCACTCCGAGCGCTCCGAATGACGTTTTTTCTTCTCGCTCTTATCTTAAAGAATAAGTAATATATAGCCTCCTCTTTCCTACACTTCTTTCTTACACTTTTTTAAAACAATGCCTATCAAGAAAAAAGTAATCCCGGAAGTGATTATTGAACCTATTTATAATATATTTATGACTGTATTTTAGTTACGTTTTTTAAGCAGTCTAAAGTTTCATGTTGACAGAATTAAACGTCATCTAGCGATAAAAGAAATGCTGAGAAAAGAAATAATGAGAACTTCAGATAAATTCATGTGTAGTAATCGGAAAAAAATTGAAAACTTTCATAAATATGTTGAAGTTTTCATAACTATGTATACCAAAATTCCCATAACTAYAGGGAGACGCATCCAACAGACTTCAAACGGCTCGATACAAAACTGATCATTGACATCGGTCATACGAGTAAAGTTAACATGCAGTCTTTAACCCTCTAATAAGAGCGGTATTCGATACGCCTTTTCTCTGCTTACTAACCTAGATTGCTGCTTTCTTCTTAGAAACTGATTTCCAACGTACCGCTTTCGTCAATGTTTTTTCACTGGTTTTAAAAACAAACGAAAAACTACTGTCAGACTTCTCGAACAGTTTTATAATTTGTTCGTTTCACTAATCTCTAATGACCGACGTATCGATACAGCTAATAAGTTTATTTCTCTTCACACAACCCAGTACTTCTCTGTTCTCTGTTCTCTTATTCATACTGCTACACAAATTTGTAAAGGCAATTTATATAGACCTTATATTTTTAATCTAAAAATATCAATTTGTAACATTTTCGTTTTATTTTGTACAATGCTGAACACCATGCGCTGTACCTCGGACTGCTGCGAGCATATCAGTGCAAAGTACTCGTATAATTCGATCGATTTAAATGGCATAATCTCATTATTATTAATTTAATTATGCGTAATTATCAAGTAAGTTAGATAAGATAAGAAAAAAAAGTTAACTACCGCTGCTTAACACACTTCTCAGGTGCATTTATTATATCATTTGAATCTATTATTAAATCCGAAAACGTAATCGGAAAGCGATTTGCATCCAATGGAAAATGTTTTTCTATTTCTTTCTAGCCACGTTTTCGATGCGTGAGTAAACAACATTCGACGCAAATTAAAGTTAGTTAGTAAGGCATAAGTTTTTTTTATGATGCATTTATCTTGATTTTGATTTTATAACATATACTACTACTACTTGGAATGCCAACTAGCTATATGCTATGGAAATYAGATTTAAGTTATATATTCGTAGATTCTAGCAATGCATTGAAAAAAATCTGTGCCAAATTTATTAAAGATAGTGTGTCAAATAACAGTCATACCATATAAGAATTAGTTTTGGATCAGTAAATTTGTACGACAGCTATATGCTATAGTGATCCGATAGCGGCGATTTCGACAAGGGAGTAGCTTTTTGGGACGAAAATGACGTGTACAAAATGTCAGATCAATATCTTGAAAACTGTGGCACTGGTTTGTGTATATACTAACTAACAGACCTGTCTAATCATTTTCAGGGGGGCACATTACGTACTGACGGGACTATTTACCGTCGTATAGAACCATTTTCGACTCGTCAGTCCACAAAATGTTGCGCCATTTCTCAATCGGTCAACTTAAGTGTGCTTTAGCGAATTTAAGACGTCGTGCTACATAWTTTTTTTTTTATTAACGGTACCTTTCGAGGACTTCGGGCATATAAATTGTGTTCACGTCTTTTCACTGTACCGCAGTGCAGGTTCAGTTTGTTCCAAACTTTTCGTATGCAATTATCAGAGAATCCGCCTTGCGTCCTTTCTTTTCGTCTTTTTTTTATAAATAATTGCGTTGCGAATCATCGGACCTTTCCTTTTTAGTCTTCCAAACTTCGAAGCAAATTAAATATACGTTTTCTAATTATATCTGAGTCAACTATAAATAGAAACTAATAGTAATCAGCCAAAGCCGCTCAACTAAAAAAACGACTCTGATACGTGCTGAGCTCAATTGATACTTTACATATTATATAAACACACGTACAAATATCTATGTATGAACCTTTGAGTAGGTCTTTGGTATGCTGTACAAATTCTAATGCTCTTATTCTAGATAATTGCTTTTGTATATGAGTTGTATGCTGCTTTGGCAGCATCACGTATTTATTATTTAGTAGCCATATGCTAATTGTTGGTGTTGCGTCATTAAATTAAAACGATTTTTTCCTTCAGGCAAATAAATTAATGTAGCCATAATTATGTTGTCAAATAACAAGGCAATTACGCAAAAAAAAAAAAAATTTATAACAACAAAACTGGCAATAATATAATCGGTAACAATTTAAAACTTCTCACCTGCATTAATCGTTTGTTGCAACAAAAAGTGCGCAATAATTGAAGAAAAAAACGAGATAACAAGATAACACATTTTTCAACACTAACAACCTGCGGCATGCACCTTTTCTTTTCCTGCAAAAACTGAAAATTAAAGCGTGGACCACGAGTAAATGAAAATCAATCGGACGGCGGGAAAAACGGAGACTTGTTCCACCAACTTTTGCATTATTTGTTGCTGCTTTAATGAAAAGAAAAAGTTCGAAATGAAGTGCAAATAAATTGAAAAGTTTTGGGCAACAGCTGTTCGGGGATAACGAACGACCGCAACGACCTCCAACCGCTGCAATCCGACTGCATTAACCTGGCCGAGTGGCGGCCTATTGACCCTGGCAGATTGTTGTGATGGTCGGACAAATGAAAAACAAATAACAAATAAATGCGAATAACTAATGCAAACAATGATGCAAACTTTTAACTAGCACAACCTTTATTTTGTTTTGTTTTGGTTTATTGATGAGATTAAWTTGAATTAAAGTATGGTATTGTTTGCAAATTTCATCAAATGAGAGTAAAGTAAATGCGTGGGTAAAATTGATGGGTGTCTAAACTGAACTCCAAGAAAGGTTGATCGAGAAATTGGTGATACCCAAAATAGCAGAATTCGAAGTTCAATTTGTTGTGAATGAAACACTATATTTTTTTTTTTTTTTAAACTAACAAAAAACAAAGCGCAAACATTAACTTCAGTTGCATCTAAGAAATAAATTCCTTCACAAATAAAAATATTTTCATACCGCTCTTGCTTGCTGGAGTAACAGAATGTTACTGCAGTCAGCCAAAATTCTACGTTTCCAAATCGTTTGTCAAAATCGTGGTGCTAACTCGTTGCTCGATTTTATRCTTCGTCATATGTGTTGTGCTTCTTGGTCGAAGGCTGCTGATTTGTTATTCACAGSTAACCTAGGACATGGAGTTTGTATRGTAGYGATATGMTGAAGTGATCCAATGTCAGCGGTTTCGACAAATGAGCAGCTTAATCACTTACGACAYGGTCTGAGAAAGTTGATGYTGCAAATAGTAAAATGCTAACCGKWTACTAACTCAATAAAATTTCTTAAMACCAGACGGCAAAATCGACWTCTTTTGTGGGTAATTGACCAAATCACTTTTTCGGCAGTTTGTGTTCGTTTTTTCGAAGTTACCCTACAACATCGAAATATTTGAACGTGAATTTCGAAATGAAGTTCTTGAAAAAAAGTTAAAATTGTTTGTATTATGTAAGTTCCCAAAAAGCTATGAATAAGGACGTCATCTACTTTTTATCATATTCTTAAYCCAASAACCTATAAAAAWATCGGCCAAAAAGMTAGCATACTTTTTKGCGCGTRTGTARACCCCAGTCTACCCACATAAAWAGTGTTGCCTACATTTAYGCGCGCAWATCCGAAACCATTCAGAACTTTATGAAATTAAACTYCAATTTATATTTTCTTCTTTCCTCAAACCCATACCATGAGAAAAAGCACTGCATTTCATAAAATAAACCTTCTTTTTTCTCTTTCATTAAAACTCATAACTATTCTCTTATCTTAGCCACCACACACTCCATGGACTGCGTTCAAAATGAAAAATACATTCTGTCTTGAAATAACTGAATAAGAATAAGYACAGCAAAACCGTCGCATTGAAAATCAGCTTTGTGCACTTTTAGTGGCACTTCAAGCGTCTTCATTTTGCATTTCAAAGTGCCCATGATTTGTTGCTCAAATTATTGTAATTGTTGTTGCGTACGTTTGCATATTCATACCGCCATACATTGATGGTAGCCCCAGCGCTGTCCAGCTGCGGTCCTCAGTGCTTCTTGTTGAACTGCTGAAGCACTTAAAGTCAAGCAAAGAAAGTAATGACAACAAGCTGCAGCCATGCGAAGGAGCAGGAAGCAAAATAAACGTCTCAAAATATTTTCATAGAAGTGCAGTACTGAGTTTAGGAGCGTTTTAACGTTAAAATGCGACACTTGAGTGGAAAAATTTTGTGGAAACTGTAGGTAGCATATAATTGCCATACAAACTGAACCTTCCAATACTAGTTCCTGTGTGGAAAACTTTTTTATTTGAAAAGATATCGGCATGGATTACTTTCCCAGGCATTAATATAAACTCCGAGCATGTGGTTCAGATCGGGTCACAATAAAATAAAGCTATCAATCCAATTGGTTAATCAAAATAGAGACAAATTTATTTATTTACAGATCAGCACAATTGAAAAGTCTCGCCCTACTTTCATGTTTTTGTAAAAACTCGATTTTTTTTTTTTGTGTTCAACATAGCTGCACTGATCACAGCGACCTTCCAAATTTTCGATAATATTTTGGTAGTACGATTTGTCCTTTGCTTTAAAATAAGCCTCATATCCGCAAATTACCTCTTCATTTGAGAACTGGAAATTGGAGACCAGTTCGGTATAATACAGTAGATGCGAAAGCAATTGGAAGCCTAATTCACAGATTTTTATCACCGTTTTCACTGATTTTTGACATAGTGGTTGTCTGTTGCGAAATATAACTTTCTTTTCCTTCAAATGCGGGAATCTTTTCGGTGATTCAAATTAGTCATAACTTGCCAGCCGACCATCAGCTCGTCGTTTTTTTTTTTTTTTTTTTTTTTTTTTTTTTTTTTTTTTTTTTTTTTTTTTTTTTTTTTTTTTTTTTTTTTTTTTTTTTGGTCAAATTGGTTAAAAGTGAGCTCGAGCATCACTCACTTTTCCCATAGCTTTCTCATACCCAAATATTCGTGAATTATATGATGTACACATTTAGTTGATATCTTTAGAGTGACTGCTCTCTCGAACTACGT